AGTGACACATTATATGATGCTAACATGCTCTTTGTTTAAAAAACAGGTAAACACCTAAAAATGTTAACAATTAAAACAGAAATATATTGAAAATATAAAATAAACATAGGCCAGGGCATTTTAAGTTGTTTAGGTTCAATTTTTGCATTTCTTAAAGAAGTTCATATAATTCATGACAACACTGTAGGCTTTGTTCTGTTTTGTGCCTAAAACCTGAGTAAAATAATTAATACGCTCAGAATATGGGAATTTTCTGACTTGCATGCAAATGCTAAAAGTCTTTTTTACTTTTATAAAAATTTTCATAAGCTACACCAATTATTACCAAAGCCAAAAAACGTAATAAAGAAAAGAAATTCATGAATGTGAATGAAAATCAGAACCGTGCTCAAAACACTTCAGTGATGAAAAGTCCATTTATTTTATGATTGTATTTATACAAAACTATTTGGGTGTGATTTAGCTTTTTGTTTTTGAATTGCAACTCAAAGAAAAGGATGTTTTATTTTTATGAGTATACTGTTGACTTCAAAATTTGGTATATTGTGAATGTACTCATTATACGAGGAAAAGTCTTCATCCACAAGTCTAAATATAAACCTAATTTTACTCATTTTAAAATAGAAATAGGTCACTACCTCTACACATGAAAAGAAACAAAACTGTAAAATATTGTAAAGCCCTAAATCTGTTCTTTGAATAATTTGTAACTACTGTATTTGTACTTGTTTTTATTGCTTTCCTTACTTTTATTATTATTTTTATTGTTGTTTTAGCTTATTATTGTATTTGTTTAGATGTAATTTTATGTTATTGCCCTTGTATATGGAAGCCCGTTTCTGCCACTGAATAAAAAATAAAAAAAAAAGGTTATTGCGACTTTTTATCTCGCAATTCTGACTTTATTTCTCATAATTGCGAGTTTATATCACGCAATTATGAGAGAGAAAAAAGTCAGAATTGTGAGATCACAATTACCTTTTTTTTAATTCAGTTGCGGTAAAGGGCTTCCATACTTGTATGTTCATTGTTTTATATATATATATATAATTTTTTTTTTTACCGGTTTTTTTTTACTGTTTTTTTTTTTGTGCTGAAAAGCGTTTTCACAACCCATGCTGCGGTCAAGCGATTTTACGACAGTTGAGCGCGGAATGCGGCAGCGGCGTGCGCATGTGGAACATAAACACACACGCACACACACACAGAAAGTCATCAGTCCGGTGAATGGAGACGGTGAGAGCGCTTCGCATGTCTGAATGAGAGGGTTTACAGCTCTGGATGAACGGTCTGCTGTACTGTGTGCTCGCTTTTATACTTTAACGCTTTTCGCTGGGCTACAGGAGAGGCGTGACGTCATTCACACCAGAACCCGATCGATAACGCTGCAGTCCATCAGCAGCTTCATATTCGTGATCTTCTCATAACGCTGCATAATATGACTGTGCTATTAATAACTGCATGCGTTTCTGTTTTTGTCTGCTCAGCTGGTTTTATCTGTCAGATGTCGAATGCTTCGCTTTTTCTCATAATTACACAAAGAAATAAAGCTAAATCACTATGAGATGAAGGCGGATTTGAGCTGAAAAGGTTAAACTGTGTTTTTAGGACAAAAGTATGTTAAAGTTATTAGGTCGGGGCAGGTTGTCACATTTGTTTTAGCAGCTGTGGCTTTGCTTAGATTTATTAAAATTAAAATTTCTGTTGGCCAGTGGCTTCATATGTTCCTGTAATACCTTAAACATTTTTGCTGTGTCATGAATTGTTTTGGGGAACTTTATTATTTTGGAAGTTGAATGTAATTGGCTGTTTAATGGCAGGTTCTCATTATAAAAACTACAAAATAATAATTATGTACTACTAATATTATTATTAATATCATCATCTTATTTAGTAAATATTATTTCTTATTTCTTTCATGTTTGTGTGTGTGTGTATATATATATATACACACACACACACCTGTCAATGGATGCACAGTTACCAAAAAAAGTATTATTTGGTTATTATTTCATACAAAACAATGATTATTTAGTACTAATACAATAATAAATATTATGTGATATAATTAAATAACTATTTAGTAAATACTATTTATTATAAAATTAGTAGTAAATAATTATTTTGTAGTAAATATATTTATAATACAAT